GCGGAAAACATTGTCAGAGTCTGGCGTTTATCCAAAAGACCATATGTAGTTATTAGCCCTACGCTAACGAATACCACAATAATGTAGAACACCATTCCGAAATACAGACTAACCATTGGTTTATTTTGCGACATGTCATTTGGAGTACTGGAGCAAGGCAGGATTACATTTTGCTTGTTTGTTAAGTCACGTAATATGAATGTATGGACAATATTTCATGCAGATGGGTGAGACTCCATGTTAATGTCTGACACCTTTTCATTATTTTTGTAGGTAATGGAGCAGCTGGTGGATAGATTAGATGTTGCGATGTTCAATGCCATTCTTCGTGAATCAGCTGAAGAAATACCAACAGATCCTGTCTCTGACCCCATTAGCGATCCTAGGGTGCTTCCAATTCTTGCTTGTCGATCAAGCTTTGGTTCTGGTGCACAACTAAAAAATGCTGTGAGTAAAACAAACTGGCATGCTTATCTATAATCCGTCGAAGGATGCTAACAGTTTACCTACTCATGGAGACCGCTATAGTGACCTGTCATATCTTTCTATTTCAGATACTCGTGCTTTGGGATAATATGATAACTGGGTCCAGAATGTATTATATGAGAATCTTGTTGTTGGAGTCATTTCTTTTTTCAAATTTGGATCTCTATTGCAAAAATATGAGAATATGATGAATTAATCTGCCAACGCGTAATATTTCTTTTCCTGTACATTTGACAATACAATTAGCAGGTCAATTTAATTACAAATCAATCACTTATGATTGACGGATTATGACGTAGAGAATCACAATAGAGGAACAGATGATTTAGATAAGCAATCATATTCAATTGGTTGCTTCATGCCCCTTCTACTCCTAGCCTAAACAAGGGGCTGGGAAAAGTTCCTGAAAAGGAGCGGAATAAGGATTGGAATGCTTTGATTGGATGCAATATAAGATAAGTTTTATACATCCAGCGTCGACTCTACTGTTTTGGTAAAGATACATAAGTGTTGCTCTTCCGTAAGCTTACACAAAAGTTTGAGAGTAAGCACTACACAAACGCAGAAATAATTTGTTAGCAAGAAAAAGAAGAGAATTGATTCTCTATATCTGTACTACATATCATATTTGGACTTCTGATCAATCTCTAAACTGCAAGACTTATTTGAACTACGTATCAATAACCAAAAGTGACTACTTCTCCTTATTGGGTCTTATTTTGGTTTTCTGGCTGGTAGATTGGGAACTGGTCTAGATGGCTTACGGATCTATTTGGCATTGAGGATAATGACTCAGCTGAAGATGAGACCAATCATGATGACAACAGTGAAATGAAATGTGTAAAATCTTTCAAAGCTTTCCGTCTGCTCAATGCATTGAGCGATCTCATGATGCTTCCAACTGAAATGCTTGGCGATAGCTCCATAAGAAAAGAGGTAAGTCCTTGATGACTCTGATTCCCTTTTCATGTGTTCTGTTCTGTTCCTTGATGAATCTGATTCACTGTTTGAAATCCTACTGTTTGTAGGTCTGCCCTACGTTCTGTGTATCATTGATCAAGAGGGTCCTCAGCAACTTTGTTCCGGATGAGTTCTCTCCGCACCCAATTCCAGCTGCTGTACTTGAGGCCCTGGATGTTGAGGTTGGTTCATCCTGGTTCTGTTTGTTAATGCATCTCTACCCACATGTTAATTGAGAATGTGCACCTATGAAGCACGGATACTTCTGCAAGGGAGTAATATCTGTATCTATATTGGACACCGATACTCCTCGGATACTTGAGATATGCGTAGGGTGCTTCCTAGTGCAAACATATTTTGTTAGCTTTGAGATGGTTCGGGTATCTTTTCCACTGAGCACTAGAGATTATATCAATTATCGCACGGTCTTAGAGTTAGTTGACGGGACTAATACGCAAATAGTTTTCCAATGCTTACTTTTCCCAGCGAACAATAATATAGTGAGTTTAAAGCTTAATTGTAATACTCTACCTTTCAGTTTATTCGTTTGACCTGTCCTTTAATTTTCCTTACATGTTCCTTATCCGAATTCGTGTTAGAAAGAAGAAAGAAAAAAAACAAGAAGTCCATCTCTTCAAGTGGTTAGCTTCTCATAGCTATACTTTTATTGGCAAAATACTAGACTACATTTTATTGTTGATGTATCGTTGTTGTACCCACATCCGAGTTTTTTAGATTTTAGCGTATCACTCACTAACCGTGTTGCCTCTAATTAATGAACACACTTTTCTCCTTATATTTTGGCTCTTGTTAATTAAGGATGCTGAGGAGGATGCTACTGGAGAGTTGGTCACCTTTCCATGCACTGCAGCACCTACAATCTATTCACCGCCTCCAGCAGCTTCACTCGCGGGGTTTATAGGAGAAGTGGGAAGCCAAACTCTTCAGACAAGCAGGTCTTCGCTACTCAGAAAATCGTATACCAGTGACGATGAGCTTGATGAGCTGGATTCACCCATGACTTCTATCATCATTGACAACTCTAGGATATCCTCTTCTTCGACAAGACTCACCTCTATGCTAGAGGGTGGTCGAAATATCGTGAGGTATCAGCTTCTACGCGAAGTATGGAAAGATGGTGAATAGAAGAACTTTCGTCATTTAAGTATTTGTATATATACTTCTTGCTTTATGTATTTTGTTTTTTGAGGTCATTACATTTGAAGAAACAATGCTCCTAGCTTTTTTCCTGTATCATATATTAGGAGCATTGTGATAACTCTCCAACTGGGACTCCTGCTTCCAGAATAATGAAACCGAGATCATTACCTACTAATGAACATATCTCATATTTCCCGTTCCGCCAAGGGAAACAAGTACTTATTTTTTGTATTAATTCAAATAAGTACTTATTTTTTGAATTAAAGTTGATGTATTGTGAGAGAATGATCTGCCTCGTAAAGCGGAAAATGAGTACTTGAAAAATAAGAACCTTAGCGGAACAGAACCTTAGACTGCTCTGTTTTTGGTTGTTTGTTCCTTGGGCTATGTTTGAATGCTCGTCTTAATCCTTGGGTGGTTATGTTTGGATGCTAATAATCTCAGGTAGCAATGAGAACTTGATTTTGCTGGTAATAAAAAAACCTCGTAATTCAGTACCTGAAAATAATTCATCCCAACGTTTGCATTAATTTAGCAAACTTAACGGGGAAACATTAGTTTGAAAATTTATCGGCGTCAAAATTTTCATTATTTACGAAATGAGCGAGGAATCGAGGATTACATTCCTATTCTTCCTCAAAGTTCTTGTCGAGGAATCGAGGATTACATTCCTATTCTTCCTCAAAGTTCTTGTCATCCAACGGAGCTTTATATTGATATCGGATCATAATCTGAGTCTCTCTCTCTGAAATATGATAAATCAATCAGCAACAGGAGCTTTATATTGTGGAGGAGGTTAGGGATTTTTTTTTTGCAGGTATATGGGGGTCTCTCGGAGCTGAGTTTTACCGGTGGTTGCATGGGGGATTTTGGGGTTTGGGCGGCAGCAAGGGAGAAGGATTCGGGGGTGCTGCGGCAGTGATGGCAGCTGCTGCTTGTGGTTGCAGTGGAGGAGTTGGTGGTGATCTGCCGATCTGGGATGGGTTGGTGGTAGCAGGGCGGAGGCAGCAACAGGAGCTGAGGTGTTTTGCGGCTGGCGATTCTCGGAGTGTTTTTGGGACCGGCGACATACGGCGGGTTCACAGTGATCCTCGCGGCGGCAGCATTTCGGATCCAGGTTGATGCTGTTCGGATGGGGCGGCTGCCAGCAGTCTAGGGTTTTGTTAGGGTTTGATTTGGGCTTAATTATTTGGGCTTGTCCCATTTTTTTGGGCTTTTAGGCCTTTTAGGAATTTGGATTTGTCCCATTGGGTTGTTCTTTGGTTGGCTTATTGCCAATTAAGGGATTGGGTCTCGGACTCGACATATGTGTCGTTCTCCTTTTCCTGTTAATCTTTGTACCTTGTTCAGAGATTAATAAAAAAAATTCGCCGTTCAAAACAAAATAAACAGCATCATTACACGGCCCGGAGTGAATTCAAGAAGGTTACTCGCATCTGTGCACAGACTGCACCTCTCGATCTGGCTCCTATGTTGACTTCTTGAGGGATTTTGCAATTAAGATGGTCGTGTTCGTATTTATTACGAAATTAGAAGTGACACCATATTAATTTTGGGTAATTGGGCTACTACTACTGGGTTCGTAAACATTGTCACAAGGGAGTCAAGCCAGTTTGGTAGAGATAAATTTGGACTAGAATTGGGTGGGGTGCGCCAGGCCGAGGCAATAGTGCAACGCCAAGGCGACGCGCGAGACACCCCAGCAGCAAGCTACTGTGATGGGCTCTCCCCCTAAAAAAACTAATTTAATATCATGTGAACCTATAGCCCACGTATCAGATATTAAACTGATAAGAACAGATACTACACTTGATCTTAGCCAAAAGGCCGAGAAAGGTATGAATTGTAAGTACAACGGGCCGGTTCTTTTATACCAACTTAGCACTGCCTTTTCTCTCTCATTCTCGATGTGGGACTAGCTGGAAACCAAAACACCTCTCTCTCTCTCTCTCTCTCTCTCTCTCCTGTTTTGCTTCAAATTCTGTCTACTGGTGAATCAAATTGAATTGCTTATCCCATTTGAGCAGAACAAAATCCTCCCCAGAAGGTTGTATAGTTCCCAGACATTTGTGCATAGGGGTAGCTTTTACTTTTGGACAAGCAACAAAGCTGTTTATATGAACATCATCAGAGGAGTTTAGTCATGGAATTGGAATTTCAACTTGTTCAGGTTAAGCAAAAACATGCTTGGGATTCTTGACAAAGGCAAACATAATCGTTTTTGGAAGGACAAAGTTCGCCGTAATTCTAGACTAAAGTCTGATCTTTGGTGTCATCTTTACTCATTTCTACTGTCTTTGGGTTTACAATTTATATCTCTGCACTCTTGCAATGATTTTGTATTTGGGGTAAACCGCAACCTCCTAGGTCTCCGATTGATTCAACCATAAGAGGGGCATGTAGCTCAGAGGAGTAGAGCACGTGGCTTAGAAACCACGGTGTCGGTGGTTTGAATTCCCCTTCGCTCACAACCTTCCCAAAAGGGCATTGTTGAATCTCTTTGATGATCAACATGTGAGATTTTGAGATCAAACCACAGCTCTAAGGATACCAAGATGGTGTGGGTTTTCTTGACCAGGTCGGGAGACAAAAAGTGGGATTTAGCAGTCACACAACTCCCTTTAACGACAAAAAGCCTTCTATAGTTTTCATGTTATGCTTCTGAGATTGTATACGGCGACTCCTCCCGCAATCAACAAATAGGCCTGTGATATAGGCTTCGTGAGGCTCATAAGGTTAACCCTCTTAGGAAATACTTCTGCGATCTCATATTATTCTCTTTTTTTAGAACTCAACTTTTTACTTTTCAAGATACGAATTGGGATGGTATTAATTTCACACACTGACTCTATTCGATTCTGGGATATCTTTTTTTAGAAACTAAAATCTTCTTATGACTTTTTAGAAAAACTAGAATTGTTTCAAATTCAAAAGAGAAGGATGGATCACCAATTGTGATCTCTTTCCAGGGTTGCTGCTTATGCCTATGAACTAGCCCCATGAAGGAGTGCCACAAACTCAATCTCAGCATGAGATAAACGAGATGTATTTGAACGAATCGGGCCTTAGGTTTCGAAAACGGTGTGTCGTGTAGAGATAAATTTGGACTAGAATTGGGTGGGGTGCGCCAGGCCGAGGCAGTAGTGCAACGCCAAGGCGACGCGCGAGGAACCCCAGCAGCAAGCTACTGTGATGGGCTCTCCCCCTAAAAAAATTAATTTAATATCATGTGAGCCGATGACCCACGTATCAGATATTAAACTGATAAGAACAGATACTACACTTGATCTTAGCCAAAAGGCCGAGAAAGGTATGAATTGTAAGTACAACGGGCCGCCTGTTTTATACCAACTTAGCACTCCTCTTTCTCTCTCATACACGATGTGGGACTGGCATGAAATCAAAGCAGAAAGTCTACACACATACAATCTGTGCCCAGATTGTGCACAGATTTTGTTGTGAGGCCATCACGGGTCCCACACAAATCATCCGAGCCGTTCATTAAATGTAAAATATTTTTTCAATGGTCCCCGTAAAAAATAAGCTCAATCCGATACCTACAGGTGCTCGATCCAACTATATAACTTTTCATTATCCGGAAATCTGAATGAAAAGTTAGATGGTTGGATGAAGCACCTATAGGTATCGGATTGAGCTTATTTTTTGCGGGAACCCTTGAAAAAATGTTTTACATTTAATGAATAGCTCGGATGATTTGTGTGGGACCCGTGGTGGACCCCACATCGAAATCTGTGCACAGATTGCTGTGTGTGTGGCAGGACTCATAAAGATACACATTGAGTGATCTTGAAATGGAAGTTAAGGCGGCATCCACACCACAGACCAAAACAGGTAGAATTCCTTTCATTCCTCCGAAACGACCAAAAAAACAAAGGCGGCAAATTGGGTCTCAAATTTGACAAAAGCCAATTCATTTGTGATATAAGGCAAAATTGCCAATTTGAGGTTGAGAGAGAGAGAGCCCGTGCTGACCATTCAAATATAGTAGTTTGGAGGGTGGGTGAGTGAGACCCAACTTGGAGTCTTGCATAAATTATTCGAGTCGTTTTGAGTTTTTGTCCAACCTGTATAAGCTTTAACTAAGGCGTTCGCTTCCCTTTAGAGCGACTACCCGAAGATTGATAACATCTGAAGAACGCTCGACCGAAGGATTGAGTCACAAGGTGAATTGGTTGCCCCATCCCCCTTCAGTTTCCCTTCTGATTTGACTTTCAATTCGGCCGAGCAAGCGCCTACTGCCTACTGGTGAAGTCGCCCCAAACGGTGAATTGGTCTTTCACTCCCCTCCGCCCCCAGCTCTCTCTCGTGTTATTCTAGCCAGCTAAAGGATTTTATCAAAATATTTTGCGGAAGGTACCGGTAAAAAATCATCTCAAACGGGGTGTCAATAAGGGTCCTCATTTAATTAATTCGATATTTGGCCCCTTACAGGATAACAAACAAAGACAAGCAAAGAAGACAAATGACCAAAATAAATTAAGCTTTACCGAGATTCGATTGAGTTGATTTTTTTGTGAAGACCCTTAGAAAATATTTTGATAAAAATGAACGGTTCAATCATTTATGTAGGATCTGAGGAGTGTGAAAATTGGTAGTTGAAAAAGTTAGGTATAAAAAAAGTTTGCTGAAAAAAATGAAAAATCTAATTTTGTCAAAAAATAGCAAAACATGGGTGCAAGTTGTGCAACATCCTTGCCCTTGTTTTTTTTTTTTTTTCCCCAGCAAAATGACTATTCATTTTCCAAAAATGACAAAACGGCATTCATTGGCGTGGATGCTCTAAGAAAGACATTACATGCGCAATTTGTAGAAGATTTTATGGCAGCCCTAAGAATTTTCATATGGTACCCTCCAAGAAAACAGAGGTAAAACATCAGGTGGAGATCTCTCCAATGGATTTGAATGATTCTTCTCAAAGAGGGAAAACATGCATTAAGAAGGTAAAAACCTAGTACACAACCCCCCTTCTTATGAAATACTATACAAACCCTTCTTCTTGAGTGAGTCATCTTTTTTTACCTTCTAATATTGTCAAAAACTTATTGAAGAGGATGGAGACCAAAATCTCCTTCAAGCAAAGAACTTTTTACTTATGACGACATATTGTGAAATTTTCTTTGCTGGGCTCCACGCCAATGATCTAATTCATATTGACGAATTGCTTGTGATTTTGTCAAAGTTGGTGCCGAAAAGTTATTCAGAAGAAAAGGAGACCAGAATCCCCTTCTCACTTATCATATAGGATAATAGGTATACATAGGTAAAAGATTGGTGGTGTGGCTCCCGTCGCTTTACCATGGCATTGGTGTGTCAGATACCTACAATGGTGGGGTGCCTGAACAAACATCAGGGGTAAAAATTCCACAGCATGATTATTTCGAAAGTCCATGGTCGAAAGTTATTGATACTTAACCAAGCAAAATGCGTGTCAAATGATGAAAAAAACCATGAAGTGTCTTTCTGCAAGTCGTCACCTTTGTTAGTACTGGACCTGAAAACTTAAACTTAACCATTACTTGGTTCTACTAATTCAATGTTACAATGGAGAAGCCTCCCAATTTTCGAAAGTAAAAGACAATCCCTTGGTGTATTCTGCAGGAGTAGTAAAGCATCCAATTTGAGATTCGTAATTGCGACCAAATTAAACAATCACGAGAACAATATGGAAACGGGAAAAGATCACGAAGATAAATTCTGCATTTCACAACAGGGAACGGGCAACGTCTCATGCTCTGTTGCTATGTATAGAACCAGCTTGAAATGGTGCAAGGCTGAAACCGCATTACTATTTGTAATTGTGAGTGTGTGAGAGAGAAATAAGGAGAGACCCTCGGAGCATTTGGAGTTATCCTTACAATTCCTACAACGAAAGTATTTCTCGTTCTTTCGTAGTCCAAGATCCTATTGCCAGAACCAACTTCGTCAATCCAATGTAAAATGCGATAAATTTCTCTTCATGCTGTTCGGAATTTCCAGTTGAAGAATAAAGTACTTCGTTGAGTGACTCGAACTTTTGGTTTCATCAGTGTGCCCAAGGGAAGCTATTGCTGATAGTTCGGGAAGGTTTGATGAAAGGAAAAGGGCAACCACTAGTGAAAGGGAACGTGTTCGAGGGGAAATGCATCTGCAAGCTTGAAGAACCAAGTTGGAAATTTAAACATCATATCCTCTGTTTCGCATCACCCAAATATGTTGACTTAAACCAGAAATAAATGTGAACTAATAAATAAACTGGACTAAGCATTACAAATCTGACTCTGCATAGAAGTTTGAAAGTGGCAGTTCACAATCCTCATAGAGCAGAGTCAGCAAATTCACATGCATAATAGAAGTAAACCTGAGCAGAATGTATTCTGAGTTAAATAGTTCTTGGCCGCGAGTTACATAAATGTTTCTTTGAACAAAAAGTTAAATATGAAGTTTAACTAACAGATAAAAATTTCCAATTGCAGACACCATATACAAGAAAAGATGAACTTACTTGGACCGGGAAGTGGTTAGTTTACTTAGCCATCCACATCTTCTGCTGCAATCAAACACATAACCTGCATTTCAAGCAAACATACAGAATCGCCTTCTTTTGTTCTTAAAGAGCACATTTGTTTTAGAAGTCTCTCTCTATGCATCTTGCTCCAAATGCTAAAAGGAACACAAGGTAACAAGCTATGCATCTTGCATCTTGCTACTTTTTTGGTTTTAAGGGTGAAAACAAGCTATGTGCCGTTTTTGGTGCATATGAAACAGACAACAAAGCAGTTATAGGGAGTGTGGAAAAAACATTTGACTTTGATATAAAAAAAAAAGGGTGCATTATATAATTTCGATGATTTCCAAAAGTAATGGAGCTTCCTTGTTGGGAGATCTCATCGGTACAGAGAAAGGATCCGTTGTAACTTCTAACTCCAGTAACTTGCCATTCCTAATAATTCTAGGCGGCCAATAAAAAAACTAAAAGAAAAATCCCGTCTTGTTTCGTGAAATTGCAACTCAAAAGAAATCTTCCCATATCTATTAAACCTGCAAAAACTTTGAGTATTGTGTCGTCAACATTTTGAGCGCTTTCAACTCTTTTGGCCCAAAATTTATCGTACAATCATCAAACTTCAAGTCTAGCGGTGACAAAGAATTAAAGAGTTCTAAACCAACCATCTCCGTTCTGTTATTGGGAACAAGCTCCTTTACAGGTGCTTTGGAAACAAAGGTAGTAAAATTCTCTTTGTTACATACAGAATCACCCTGCGTAGGATCCATGCTAGAAAACTCACAAGATAGCGCCGCTGGTTTATGTAAAGAGAAAGGATTCTCTTTCAGGGTACCGTAACATGATGTATCTTTATCATCAGAAAGTGAAACAGAACCAGGTGTAGCCATTTCACTGGCCACCCCCAAGACTTCATTGCACAGGTTATTGACTTGAGCATTAGCTGACAATATGTATGCTTCTTCT